TTATTATCCCAAGATAGCCAACTTAGTTCTGAGAGATGTTGGACATCTCACCTCATACTTAGAATTAGAAAATAATTGTCTAGTTTCTCTCAAGTTTGCTGGGAGAGATGGAAAAGTACTTGCAAGCTGTGATGGTCACACCACACTTGGCTTCCTCCAAAGCATACTCTCTTAGGCCTTCAAAACATCACCAAGGAGAACCACCGTAGATTTGGCTACCCTTCTCAGCCAATGCCCGGATCTTGTCTGGAATCCGAAATGGCTTTCTTCTTTCTAAGCTGTGTGTCTTAGGACTGACCACGGGGGTCAACTTGACCACTTGACCATGGGGTCTTTATGGTCTCGTTTTTCCAACCTCAGTCAAACAGGATCCTGCCATCAGGGCAAGGGAGTAGTAGAAGTTATGCTTGGTCGGTTCCCCCCCTCCTCCTCCTCCTCCTGGGAAGTTCAGGGATAAATCTCTGTGGCACTGATGATGTTACCTAGTTTGGTAATGAGACGTCTGCAAGGAAACCATCAAGATCAGAGAGCACTAAGGACACCACCATCATCGTTGTCCTCCTCCTCCTCCTCCTCTTCCGTACAAACCCCACTCTCTTCTACCTTTGAAGATGTTACCCTAGTTGCACCATAAAGCATCTGTAAGAAAACAGCCAACCTCGGAAAGCACCAAGGACCCCACACTTCTCTTCCTTGTCCATTCGGCAAACCCCACTCCCTTGTAGCACTGATGGTGTAGCCTAATTTGGTAATGAAATGTCTGCAACAATACCACCAAGCTCAGAGGGCACCAAGGACACCCCAGACACAGACGGTTCAACGCAGAGCTACAAATATCCTTTTCTATCGATAAATCTCCTTCCTGAATCCAAGGCGCCTGCCTATTTGTACCAAAAACACCAGAAACGAGAGCCGGCCGAAGAATGGAAATGTCCCCCCCAAAAAAATCAATACAAAGAGAAACACTTTGAATGCGAACAAATGTTGGGTTAGGCGACTGTAGCCATGGCAATCTCGGAGAACGGAGCAATATCGGTATCTTGAGGGAAAAGGGTAATTAAGACTTAAGTGGCAGGTATGGCTGGGGCAGCAATGTACAGTCAATTTCCTTTACAATTAAACCCTTCGTAAAATATTACACTTCATTCAAATTGCAGAGGTCTTGGGAGCAAGGCTGATATTCTTTCTTGCAAAGGTTTGGTCAAACGCAGCGAGAGGGGCATGATTGTGCATGTGTGTATATGTGTGTGTGTGTGAGAGAGAGAGAGAGAGAGAGAGAACCACATTTGGACCCACATGACTGCAGAGAAAATACTACCAACTCATAAAATATTTCTATGCTCGTCTTAGAGTTGCCAACAGAAAGGTAGGGGGGGAAAGAGTTTTGAAAGCACAGTGTGGCAGCTTGGAAATCGAAAGTGCATTCCATACATAGTTTTTCAGAGATAGTAACTAGGTGACTGAAGTGTCTGCTATGCAAAAATCTTAACTAGAAAGCATGATTGATGACTCTTGGCTATGGATGTGTCCCATTGGAGAATATGAATTATGATACACCCAGGGGGTGGAGGGAAAACCAGGGTCAAGAGTGACAATGAATGATTGTGTCACTGTGATGACCCAGGTGGGATACAAAAGCAACAAAGTCACAAAAACAGGTGAAGTCCCTTTAATTCCTTCAACTTGGCTTCAGAGGTCAAATCATCATTGACTGGAGAAAAAACTCCCCACAAACAGTTGCGAAAAGGAAGAAATTCCGTTCAAACTCAAAATACATATAAATTATAAATAGAAAAAACAACAACACAAACTGCACTGAAGCAATTCATGAGACAAGGCAGGATAAGGGCTTGAAGATGCCCACAAATATCGAAATACACACACTGGGAAGGACGACAGAATTCAAATAAGAACAGACAGAATAGAAACATTTTCACGCTTTGCTTCCAGCACTGGGCCATGCGCAGTTTGTCTTTTTAAACAGTCCTCCCAGCTGCAGCCCATGAAGGGGATCAGGGCCCTTTCCTCCCCAGTAGACCATCCCTTTCATGTTTCTCCCTTATCCGCTCCTTCCTGCGTGCCCTAGGATGCAGACAGGATGGCCCTGGGTCTTCCTCTGAATGCCCAGCTGGCCTGTGCCCTTTCCCAGTTTCCTCCACAACCTCCGGAGCCACACTCCCATTCCCTGTTGGCTGTTCCTCCTCTCCCTCGGAGTCAGATTCTAACAGGGGCATGACAGTCACAGAGTTGGCTGCACCCAGGCAGTGCCGACATGTTAACTCCCAATAAATCCTTTTGAAGTTTTGGAAGTTTGGCTCGAGACTCAGGATTTAATTGGGGGCAACTGCCGGAATCCTGACAAATACACTGGATTAGCTTTGATTGATAGTCCTCAACGTACGACCACCCAAGCTTCTCGATCCTAAGTGAAACAATTGCTAAGTAAATTCTGCCCCGTGTTATGGCCTCCTTTGCCACGGTTGTTAAGTGAATCGCTGGTGTTGTTAAGTGAGTAATGCGGTTGTTAAGTGAATCTGGCTTCCCCATTGACTTTGCTTGTCAGAAGGTCGCAAAAGGAGATCAGGTGAGTCCGAGACACTGTAACTGTCATAAGTACATGCCAGTTGCCAAGCCTCTGAATTCTGATCACGCGAGTAAGGGGATGTTGCAATGGTCATAAGTTTGAAAAATGGTCATAACTCCCTTTTTTCAGTGCTGATGTTGAGGACAACCTGTTTTAACTGCTGTGCATTAAATTAGGGAATATGCTTCCGTGTCCAGAATACCTTCGTATCTTAAAATTAAATCTGATGAGAAATTGAATTCTAACTGGGAAGCATGCCTGGACTATAATTTGACGCACAGCGTTGCACCCTCCAAAATTTTGATTTTTCTATGGATGGAATCTATAATTTAACTTCATGGGATATTCCACTTCCGCTACCTTGGCAACACTGATTCATTAATTATACCTCTTAATTTTGAACGGAGCTGACCACTGTTTGTAATAACATATTCTTTAGCCTAATAGCAGTTTCTAAAATTTTAAAGTGACATAATATGTTCTGTTACTTGCAAGTAATTAACGATATGCTGGAAAAACCATAATCTACGTGACACTCCAGATCTCTTGTTTGCTTATTCGTAGTGTATTGTTTGTACTTGACTCTTTTGTTCTTTTCACAGCCCCTTAATCTTTGCGTTTGTGCTACTTAACATTTTTTTCAAATTTAAAAACAAAGCGTAGACAAACAAAAACAGAAAAACAAAGGCTAGAAATTACAGCAAATGCTTAATACACCTGGTTCTGCACTGAGTTATATGGAAGTGAGCTGCCTCTTTTTTCAAGGAACTTGATGTTATATATCCGTGATGGCGAACCTATGGCACGCGTGCCACAGGTGGCGCGCAGAGCCATTTGTGCCGGCATGCGAGCTGCAGGCAAACATACCTCACTGCACATGTGTGCGCTTCACAGCCGATTTTTAGCCTGTTTGAGGCCTTTTTCGGCCTCCCAGAGGCTTGAGGAAGGCTTCTGCAGGCCGAAAACTAGGCCCGTTTCATCACTTCCTGTTTTTCCGGAAATACCAGAAGTGACGAAACAGGCCTAGTTTTCGGCCTGCAAAGCCTGCAGAAGCCTCCCTCAAGCCTCTGGGAGGCCAAAAAAGGCCTCAAACTGACCAAAAATCAGCTGTGAGGTGCAGTGCAGGTAAGGGAGTGGCGGGGGAGGGTGGGTGGGGATTGCACACGCATGTGTAGTGGGTGTGGGGGGGGCACGCATTGCCTTCTGGGTGCTGGCACGCGAGCGCGAGCGTGCAAGCACACCCACAATTTTTTGGCACAGGAACCCAAAATGGGTAGCCACCACTGTTATATATGGACAAAGTAGTCCTTGCCTTACGACTGTAACGGAGCCTGCCCATTGCAGTTCATCAGTTGTGATAGTCATAAAATGGGACATCCACATGACCGATTTCATGGGAGGATTGGGGTTTGTTTTTTTCTGGCGATGGTCATTATGTGAACCTGTGGTTGTTAACTGAAACGTGCAATTGTTATGTAAATCCACCTTCCCCCGCTGATAGTCAGAACCCAGCTGGGAAAGGACACAAACTGCCAGTTTCGCTGTCGTGACCCTGGGGACGATGAAACGGTTCTGAGTGCAAGGAAAAGTCATAAGTCACTTTTCGGCGTGCTGGTGTAACTTTGAGCAGTTGCGAAAACTAACGGTTGCAACTCAAGGACTGTCAATGGTGCAAGTGCCAGGAATGAGGAGCAGAGCTGTGCCTGCCTGCATACCAATCCTGGACATTAGGGTTTTTTTCCCCAAAGCAAATTGGTTGCTTCTCTTTAAGGAGGGCGGGGGGAAAAAAGGGAACCTAGAAGCTGAGATTAAAAACCACACAGATCACTGCAGAAAGCGGCAATTGTGTCATTCTGACCCACCTCTCTCCGTCGCGATGCCCAGCAGCTTTGCTTAATCTTCCAAACCACAGCAGCCACGAGAAGCAGAGACAAGAAGCAGCTGAAAAGGAAGGAAGGGAAGAGAAATCAATTCTGTGAGATGTCCTTGCCTGGCTTCAATCTTAGATACGTCAAAACTGACCCCCTCCTGCCAAAAAAAATTGCATTGTAGCTTTCATGCTTAAGGTGGGACTAGAACTCACCGTCTCCTGGTGATTGGCACAAAGTCACCCTACTGGCTTTCATGCCTAAGGCGGGACTAGAACTCACTGTCTCCTGGTGATTGGCCCAAAGTCACCCAGTTGGCTTTCATTCCTAAGGCGGGACTAGAACTCACCGTCTCCTGGTGATTGGCCCAAAGTCACCC